TAGTCAGAGATTCGAAAGAAGCAGTTTCAGGTAACTCAAATCTGGTTTTCTGCCATGCCACCTAGTGAATGGCAATTCACCATAATTCATTGTATGGCCGATTGAGGAAACAGCAACCAATCACGTTTACAGCCTGATTTAAAGAAACAGGTACAGCATTGTTACATGATTTATATATTGCCAACTCAACCGTTAGATTATATTCCTAACATGTTTGTATCATGGTAGCTACAGCTGGAGCATATATGTGATATGTATCTTATTTATTTCTGGCACCAAAGAAACTTACATACTTTTATTTTTACTCTCCTGGCCACTTACCTGTTTCTTGTACAAGCCTCAAATTTGCTTCAAAAATATTTCAATATTTTGGAGCAGGTCTGAGGGGGGGGGAGAAGAGTAAAGCAGCCATACTATTGGCAGATGGCTCTTGCTTTGGAGAAACATTATACAGTATTTGATATTTAAAATTGAAAACCACAACAATTATAAATACCTTTGAAGATTTCAAGTTCTTTCCTGAAAAATAAAAACAAAAACATAACGTATGTCAGAGATTGAACACAAATTGGTTTTATTTGCAGATAACTCACTTTTATTTCCAACCCATACTACTGTTCAGCATAGATGAAAAACATGGATGCCATTAGCAAAACAGCAGTATCATCTATTAACTGGTTGAAATGAATAGTTCTTAAATTCTCACCTAATAGTATCAAAAGAACTATTAATTCCATATTTGCATGAAATCCATTCAATACTTAGGTATGTATATAACAAAGAATATAACTCATTCAGTTGCAGAATATCAAGAGGTATATTCAGGAGTAGAAAGTAATTTAGTCTTTAGTACGTTTAGCTAAGCTTTGGGAGATATCCAGGAGGCCAAATCAAACAAGAAGGCAGAAATGTGTTAATGAATCAGAAAAGGCAGAGCCAATTTCATCATTAATACATTTCATTAATTAGTTAATTAGTAACTAGTTTCAGCTTAATCTCATCAGCATTGAGGTGACTTTGAAAGTTACATGTTCAATTACCCAAAAGAATAAAAAACAGAAATAAAATAGAAAGAAGGAAGAATCCCAAAGGCTTGCAACAGAAGAAGAGAAAAGCAGAGAAGTGTTCAGTAACAGAGACACCAATTTAACAAAATGAGAAAGTGGAGGGAAATAAGAACAGCCATGAAAATGTGATAACAATCAATCTTACTGAAGGTCAAAAATATATTGAAAAGGATCCAGCTACAAAGGATATTTGGATATTGACAACAAAGTGCTGAGAAATGTTATCAGTGGATTGCAGTGGAGCAGCAGAAGGAGTATTCTAGGCCAAGAGAGAGTGGTCCATACATACCAGGGCACTAATGCTAATGTTCCTGAATTTTAAATCATTCATCACTGTCCAGAAGCCAATACCAGATATAATGTGTCAGTAGGGCTATGAATAAGTTGGCCCATCGTCCATGGCTCCTGTGCTATCTTGGACAAGAGACCCAGAGAAGGCTGATTGGAGTCTCCCAAAATCATAAGCCTGGGGAACTCTCCCAGACAGAGATGCTGCTAAACAGTAGGGAAGAAGGCAACTAGGCAGCAATCACCACTGATCCTGATGGCCCAACCTCACAAAAAGAGGTTTCACATCCAACAATGTCTGCAACAAGGCCCCCAATGGCTACCAAGACAACAGTCACTACACCTGCCCTGGAATCACAGTTCCATTCGTAAAACTCCAGAGGACACAATATATGGGAACCATATAATACATATGGTATTATAAGTGAGCAGCTAATGACGCAATTAATTCAGCTGGAGCTTGTATTCCAATTCCTTACAGAAAAAAAAAAGGGGGGGGGGAGGCTGGAAAATTATATTGTAAACAGAACTTGAAAAATGCTGACCATATTGCTCATTAAGTTATATTCTTTCCCCTTTTTCAAAAAAGTTAATTCAAATATTGATAAACAACATACTAAGAAAGGGAGAGAGAGTGGATAATTGGCTTGTGTCCAAGGAAACACTACACCATTAATAATTATACATGACTTAAAGGTTGAGTAAACCACATCAATCCAAAATATAGAAACTGGAGGAATCCCAAATCAAAACCTGTCTTAAACCTTCCAAGAAAACATTGCTGCTAGTTTCTATGATGAATTACGGGAAGAACATTTGTTAAAAGTCTAGTACTATCTTCTACTATCAAACGTTTGGTGCCCTTGTTCATGCAAGTGTGATGAGCAGTATAAAAATTTGATAAATTATAATTAAATAAAAATAAAATGTATTAAATTTGCTTGACTCTCAGAGACTCTGAGAGCTTTATATCTGTATAGCCTGCATTGGAAGTTCAACAATTAGAACAATAAACTATAATTTGCAATCCAAAGTAAAATCTTAATATTGATATATTCAAAGAAATAGATCTATAATTAAAACACTAGGTTTCTCCATTTTGGGAAGAATTAAGATATCTGTTACAATAAAACTAAAGAGTAGGGATTTATTTGAAAGAAAAATAACTTTCAGTAACTTTTGACAAAAATAACTTTTCAATAAAATAGAAAAAAATCCCAATATTCTTTTTAGAGAAACCTATTGGAAAACCACCAGAAATCTTCCATAATTTTAAAGTATGTAATTAGGATAATTTCTTGAATCAAAAGAAAAGTAAAATTAGTTTCCTAGCTTTGGGCTAACTGTGGTAACCTTGGTTGCTGTAAGAAAGGACATATCTCATTTTTAGTGATGAAAAACTTAACTGTTATAGTTTGCTTTACTTCACTGCAAATATTTCTTTGTCAAATTGTTCTCAAGGAATGAGAAATTAAAAAAAAAACCTCTTATACATAAACTCTTTGAATGATTAATGATGCCAGAGGCAGGCTTCTCGTTTGCTCTTCAGAGCAGGGCAACTAGCAGTCAAAGCCAATGACTCTTGGCAATTTTGCCTTCATTGGGGAGTTCTCAGTGCTTTCTGATTGGTTATTTTCTGGCAGACATTTCATTACCAAACTAGATAACATCATCCGTCCACTGATGATGTTGCCTAGTTTAGTAATGAAACGTCTGCCAGAACACAACCAAGCTCAGAGAGACCAAGATGACCACAATTTAGTCCTGAGCTACAAATATTATTTTATTTCAATATCCAATGAATAAGCTAAACTGCTTTTCTGGGAAGCAGGATATCACCTATTAATGATTCTTGACCGTACCACATGGTCAGGGATTATAGTTCTAATTTAATTTATCCAAGGTAAACTAGGTCATGTATTATTTTGTAATGAACCAACTGAGCTAATAAAAATCCCTTACTCTGTTTAATACAGGGAGTCCATGACCACAACTGAGATCAAAAATTATGTTGGTAATAGAGACATTTGTTTAAAGGGGTTTGTCCCTTTTTACGACCTTTCTTGCCACCACTGTTAGATGCAACTATTAAGTTAACAGCACAGCTGTTCACTGAATTTGACTTCCCCACTGACTTTGCTTATCAAAGGTGCAAAAGGTGATCCTGGGACACTGCAACCATCAGAAATATGAACCAGTTGCCAGGCATCCGAATTTTGATTATGTGACCATGGGGATGATGCAATGGTTACGATCATAAGTCTTTTTTTCCAGTGCTATTGTAACTTTGGTCACTAAACATTTGGCTGTAAGTCAAAGACTAACTGTACTCTTTCTTGAATACTCTTATCTGATAACTATTTATCTGCTATGAGACAACTCTGTGAAGCCTCTAATTCATCTAACTCTGTAAAGGTAAAGGTTCCCCTTGCACATATGTGCTAGTCGTTCCTACTCTAGGGGGCGGTGCTCATCTCCATTTCAAAGCCGAAGAGCCAGCGCTGTCTGAAGACATCTCCGTGGTCATGTGGCCAGCCGAGGTGGCACAGTGGTTAGAGTGCAGTACTGCAGGCCACTTCAGCTGACTGCTATCTGCAGTTCGGCGGTTCAAATCTCACCGGCTCAAGGTTGACTCAGCCTTCCATCTTTCCGAGGTGGGTAAAATGAAGACCCGGATTGTTGGGGGCAATTGGCTGACTCTGTAAACCGCTTAGAGAGGGCTGAAAGCCCTATGAAGCGGTATATAAGTCTAACTGCTATTGCTATCTAGCGGAAGATGCTTCTTTTGCACAAAGGTGTGTCTCAGAATTCCTCTTCCAGAATCTTGACTGAGACAACTGCCCTCCCCGCTCTAACTGGCTCGGGTCCTTTGGGGAGGGGAAAGCCCCTCTGCAAGCCAGAAGACCCCCCCCCACGAACCCCTTTAGCTTCTGTCCACTTCAGCAACATGGCT